GCTCCGTACCCCAGGGGACCCACATATGAGATCACCAGGAGCGTCCACTACACACCCTCCACCGCCCGGCACCGACGGGTCTACTACAGACACCGAAGGCCCTCGGTCCCCGGAGCGACCACTCCTGTTCGTCTTCCGGCGCTTCGTCTGAGAGCCAGGTTGACCTTGGACAGCAGTGGTGGAAGGACGACGAGAGGGGCGACCCCCTTCCAAGAACTCATCTGCCTCCAAGGGTTCCACACCAAGGGCACCAGAATTTGGCGCGACATCCTCCACCGGTGACAAAACAGGGCCACGCCCCACCGAAGCGTCAACATCGACGGCTATGGCAACTGGAGGCGGATGCACCTCCACATGCGTGACCACCGCACTACCACCCACACCAGGGGGGTCCACAGACATCGGACCCGACACGTCAGCACCAGTGGGGCGCACCGCACCCACAACGCCATCACCGGTAGGTGCAGAGGGAGGGTTCAACCCGGCAGGATCATCCCCCAGGTCCACAAGGCCATGTAGAGGCGGAAAATTCTCTTCTCGGAAGACACTGACCAACTGGACGGTGCCATTACGGCAACCAGCAGCCTGGTGTCCAGCCATACCGCACCGAAAACATGTGCGCTCTTGTCCCGCATAAAAGCACTGCACCTTGAACCCCAGCAGCACCATCGACGACGGGATCGCCTTCCTCAGCTTCATGGTAACCGTGCGGATACCCATCAGGACGCCACGAAGACGGCCAGACTTCAGCACATTTGCCCGACAGGCGAGAACACTCCCATATCCTCCTAATAACCGGCGGAGCAGGCTCTCTGGGAACTCAAACGGCAGCCCCCGCACCACCACAAAAGTCACTGGAACACACAAGTCCGTTACAGAAACCGTACCCGCCGCGCCAGGCAAAGGTACAGTACACCCATCATACTTGTCGACCATATCCCGGTACACCACAGCGTCAGTCAGCTTAACCAAGGCCCGATGTTCCCCAGCCAGCTGCACACCACACACATCTGCAGGGTTGAGACCCAGCACATCCAGGAGAGCAACCTCCAACAATGAGTAGTTCACCTGACTAGAGAAGGCCAGCTCAACCGTATCCACACGCCTTATAGGCGGCATGGGCAACGCCATCCCGCCGGCCCGCCAGGCCAGAGGCCACAAAAAACGCCACCAGCTGTGTGCACGCCAAACGTCCAGGCAAGACTGAGGAGCGAATGTAAACAGAACCGCTCCGCACGGCTGCCAAACAGCCAATCCTATGACCGGCTAGACAGCAGTCTTGTGGAAGCCGCCGTGTCATCAAGTACTCTACTTTACCTGCCTGTGGGTGCGACAGAGAAACCAGCCAACTGTGGGGACCCGATATGATCTTGTTGAGACGAGTCTGCAGTGTGTGAGTATTATATTGGAGACTAACCGGGTGAGGAGTGTTTTAGTGATGGATCGGGGTTAGGGACTTAAGTTGAGGTTATTAGTTGTATATGAGGGACAGTTAAGTCCAGTGCGTTTATTGTCATTGGGTAGGCAATTTAACCCAAATTGGATGTTATATTGTTAATTATTGTCAGTATTTTATATAATGAAATTAGAAAACCCGACGGCCTTTAATCACCTTCCATAAGTTCTCATGTGATTTTCATTACAAACCTATTAGTAAGCCTTAAGGATCTAGTTGGTGAATTTTTTTTTTTATATATCAAAAACCAAGGTACAAAAACAGGGAACAAATGCAAAACAACATAAAAACAAACCAATGGGCTTATACATGAAACAAAGCAAACACCATGAAACAGACATTAAATACATCCAAAAGGTCACAGCACAGGACAGAACACAGACAACATAAATAAAGGACAATGAAAATTACAAAAACGTACAAGAAAAAATGCACAAAATTACAACAAACGTATAGAAAACCAACCACCCCAGAACAGAAAAGGGGAGTAAAGTAAAGCAATCACGGGCAGTCCGACTCCGCACACAGAGGAGCATAACCGGACACAAATGAGCACACCAACAACAAATAAACAGTAAATCCAAAAATTTCACACAAAAACATAAATAACAAAATACATAAAGAATAAAGCAATGACAAGTATAAAATTACAAACAAACACACATTGGACCCACACACGGAACAATATACACAACCACACAACATCCGCACACAACCACAGCACAAACACCCACACCGAACAAAGGCAAAGCACACAACAAATCGCAAATACAGCAAAACAGGCCACACAGGAGCCAAGAACCAACACCCACACCACTCGCACAGACAAGGACACCCACCAGTGCACGCAGGCACCGGGGAACCACCACCACACAACACAGACAGAAACCCACCACACGGATCACTCGTACTTCTCCGGGTACTCCCGAGCCGGAAATCATAAGCAGTAAGCATCCCAAACTAGTCAGTCAGTGTCAGGAAGTGGACGTCCAGGATGCGCAGTAGGCCGAGGCATCAAATCCGGCACACCAATGATGAAACACCGCACCCGCGGAACCCAGATGGTAGAAGGGCACCAGGAAACAGGACGCACTCGGTCATCAATCTCAACACACACAGGTATACCAGATCCGTCGGCCACCTCTCCAGATGGGAGGATGACAGGGAAGGGTTTCCCCCTAGGATGCCGGTCACAGGGCCTCACATCGGGCTGCCCACTAGGGCGCGCACTTCGTTCCACGCCGGGCATCGCACCGAGCCCTGCAGAGGGGGGCATCGCACCGAGCCCTGCAGAGGGCGGCACCGCAGGTGCCCCAGTGTCCCCACCACCCGGAACAGGAGCAGAGATTCCCATCGCACATCCTTTGGCAACACCACTACGATGTCGCAATCACCAGGGGCAACCGCCCACTGAGGAGAGCCACAAGCAGGAGGCACAGGGTCAGGCACCACAAGAGGCAACACAGCGACGTCCACAGCATCATCCATTGCATCACGCTCCTCTGCCCACGTCCGGCGAGGCGACGCATCCCGAGCCGAACGACGGCGCTTAGAAATAGGCTACTGATCGTCGTAACTGTCACCCCCTGCAAACGGTGTCCCAGAAAAACCATCGGCAGGCGGCCCCAAAGCCGGGCCAACACTATCACGAAGGACAACAGCCTCAACGACACGGGGCAAAAAGCCACCACCATTCAAAGAGACCGGAGTTAAAGAAGGAAGACACAGAGCAGGCGGAAGGGAAGACTCCAGCACATGGGAGGAATCCAGCGAGGGCGACAGAACCGGCAGAGGAGAAGATGCACACGCCAACGAGGAAACTACTAGAGGCGACGAAGCAGAGGGCGTGGACGGAGAGAGAGACACCATCGCCCCGACAGCCCCGGGAAGCACATGTTCTTCAGCAGGAGATGCACGCGCCACCCCTACAGCTCCATCCAAGGTTACCACGGAAGATACCAGATGTGGATGCACCTCCACAACCACCGAACGGCGAAGGTCTGAAGCAGGCGCCCTAGGTCCTCAGAGCACACCGGTGGGGCAGACAGATCAGGCCCGGATGGAGCGACAGCCGGAACCGCCACAGGAACCACACCAGGTACCTGCAGAGCGAGGATACGCTGGGGAATCCCCATTCACACAGAAACGGGGAAAATCATCCTCCAGGAAAACTGAAGGAGCCTCAGCACGAAGAGCGTCACAACCAGCCGCTACGTGGCCCTCAGCACCACACCGGACACATGTGCGTGTTTGACCTTGATAGAAGGTCCACATAGAAAGCCCACGAAACGAAACCCTAGATGGTATCAGGTTCGTGAGCCGCATGACGAGTGTGCGTGTACCCAGCCGGACCCCCTTCAGGCAGCCCGCACCCAAAATGTTGAACCAGTGCTTCACCACCACACCAAACCGCGTAAACACTGACACAAGCTCTGCCTCGGGGAAGGTCACTGGCACACCGTGAACACTCACAAATGTCATAGGCCCCCAGGGATCCGATATCTCCACAGTCACAGCCGAATCAGGAATAGGAAGTGAGCGTGCATCCTAGCGTGCCACAAACTCCTGGTAAAGCAGCGACGTGGTAAACGATACCGCCACACGGGTAGGCGAGATCTTTTCAAGCCCCAGTAGTTCAGAGACGTCAACACGAAGCACGTCCAGGAGAGCAATCTTCACAATGGGCCAGTCCACTGCACCAGAAAAATCCAGCCGGACAGTATCAACCAACCTAACACGGGTACCTCCGGTGTCCGCCATACTGCCAGCCAGCCCCCCCTGCTAGCGGGCGCTCCACACCTCAAACTGCACCCGCCCCCTCGCAACTCCAGGCAGCAACTGGCAGGTCAGGCGAGCACGTCCGACCCTCCTGGCGGCCAACGAGGCAATACATGCATGAAAAATAGTTTGGTTGTAGTAAACTATTTCATGAGCCTAATTATACACAGTAGGGTAAATTTTGTATTCAGAACTAATCTGGGTTTCTCCGTTCACGACCGTACACACAAAAGAGCAAACTACTACCAAACGCCATTGTACGAGGAAAACACAGAACAATTAACAATACAGTATTATAGGATACCAATTCTTTTACACATTTTTCCGTCGAGGAGGGGGCAGTCGCAATACGTCAAAGTATTAGATGTAATGTGGGAGTGGGACTCAAAACTGAGCTACACAAACTGTTTGGAGAGAATTAAAATGGAAAATTATCTACCTAATGATAGGTGTTAAACATAATCCACCAAACTTCCAAAGAAAACAGCTTTTATGAGAACTAATATCTATTGCTTCTAGGTCTAACACTGAACATTGTTACCAATTTTAGTACAATAAATTTTACTTGCCAAACAGGATTTTTTTTTTTGTAATTTATGACCACTCTATTAAGCAAAATAATATTGTGCCAACACAGTAAGATAATATAGACTTGTTTAACAGGGAGACACTGATAAGTAGCATCTTAAAAGGGATGTGCTCCTTAGGGAACGTAAACAAGACTCAGAAAAATTATTTGAGAGAAACTTAAGGTGCCAGATTATTCTCACATCAGATTCATATATTTTGGAGGTCTTTGGGAATTATGGATTTGGCAGACTTTAACATGAAAGTTGGTCAGTTCTTGAGTCGCTGGATCACAGGTGGTGGCCGTCGCTGGATCACAGGTGGTGGCCGTCGCTGGATCACAGGTGGTGGCCGTCGCTGGATCACAGGTGGTGGCCGTCGCTGGATCACAGGTGGTGGACGTCGCTGGATCACAGGTGGTGGCCGTCGCTGGATCACAGGTGGTGACCGTCGCTGGATCACAGGTGGTGGCCGTCGCTGGATCACAGGTGGTGGCCGTCGCTGGATAACAGGTGGTGGCCGTCGCTGGATCACAGGTGGTAGCCGTCGCTGGATCACAGGTGGTGGCCGTCGCTGGATCACAGGTGGTGGCCGTCGCTGGATCACCGATGGTGGCCGTCGCTGGATCACCGATGGTGGCCGTCACTAGATCACCGATGGTGGCAGTCACTAGATCACCGATGGTGGAGGTCACTAGATCACCGATGGTGGAAGTCACTAGATCACCGATGGTGGCCGTCGCTAGATCACCGATGGTGGCCGTCGCTGGATCACCGATGGTGGCCCTCACTAGATCACCGATGGTGGCGGTCACTAGATCACCGATGGTGGAAGTCACTAGATCACCGATGGTGGCCGTCACTAGATCACCGATGGTGGCGGTCACTAGATCACCGATGGTGGCCGTCACTAGATCACCGATGGTGGTGGTCACTAGATCACTGATGGTGGCGGTCACTAGATCACTGATGGTGGCCGTCACTAGATCACCGATGGTGGCCGTCACTAGATCACCGATGGTGGCGGTCACTAGATCACTGATGGTGGCCGTCACTAGATCACCGATGGTGGCGGTCACTAGATCACCGATGGTGGCCGTCACTAGATCACCGATGGTGGTGGTCACTAGATCACCGATTGTGGCGGTCACTAGATCACTGATGGTGGAAGTCACTAGATCACCGATGGTGGCCGTCACTAGATCACCGATGGTGGTGGTCACTAGATCACCGATGGTGGTGGTCACTAGATCACCGATGGTGGCCGTCACTAGATCACTGATGGTGGCCGTCACTAGATCACCGATGGTGGCCGTCACTAGATCACCGATGGTGGCCGTCACTAGATCACTGATGGTGGTCACTAGATCACCGATGGTGGTCACTAGATCACCGATGGTGGCCGTCACTAGATCACTGATGGTGGCCGTCACTAGATCACCGATGGTGGTGGTCACTAGATCACCGATGGTGGCCGTCACTAGATCACCGATGGTGGTGGTCACTAGATCACCGATGGTGGCCGTCACTAGATCACTGATTGTGGTGGTCACTAGATCACCGATGGTGGCCGTCACTAGATCACCGATGGTGGCCGTCACTTGATCACCGATGGTGGCCGTCACTAGATCACCGATGGTGGCCGTCACTAGATCACTGATGGTGGCCGTCACTAGATCACCGATGGTGGTCGTCACTAGATCACTGATGGTGGCCGTCACTAGATCACCGATGGTGGTCGTCACTAGATCACTGATGGTGGCCGTCACTAGATCACTGATGGTGGCCGTCACTAGATCACTGATGGTGGCCGTCACTAGATCACTGATGGTGGCCGTCACTAGATCACTGATGGTGGCCGTCACTAGATCACCGATGGTGGCCGTCACTAGATCACCGATGGTGGTCGTCACTAGATCACTGATGGTGGTCGTCACTAGATCACTGATGGTGGCCGTCACTAGATCACCGATGGTGGTCGCCACTAGATCACTGATAGTGGCCGTCACTAGATCACTGATGGTGGCCGTCACTAGATCACCGATGGTGGTCGTCACTAGATCACTGATGGTGGTCGTCACTAGATCACTGATTGTGGCCGTCACTAGATCACCGATGGTGGTCGTCACTAGATCACTGATGGTGGTCGTCACTAGATCACTGATGGTGGCCGTCACTAGATCACTGATGGTGGCCGTCACTAGATCACCGATGGTGGCCGTCACTAGATCACCGATGGTTGTGGGAACCGACCTGTGAGATTTATATTTATTTAATTTATATGAATTTATATTTACGTTAATTTATATACTTCGATAGCAATTTGTATAATGATAAGTGGACTGTATTTCTGCAATAATCTCATAATCTCACAAATCGATCCTCTACACATTAGGGGGGTTTATATTTATATGTATGCAGCCAATCAAACTACAGTAACTACATACATTGAAGAGGTTCCTTATCTTATAGTACAGCAGGTTAGTCCACCAGGTATAACTAGGGTGTAGACACCAAATTATCCTCTTTGAGGTAGCTTCCATATCACCCAGTAACTGGTGCACAAATCTTGCATCCTCGTCTTGACCTGTCAAAAGTGCGCTAGCTGTGAAGCCAGATACCTATATATGACAAGTATATCAGAGAAAACAGTACATGGAACATGAAGACCTGGCTTAATTACCTTTAGTATGAGGCGATTTCGCGTTCTAACCGGTCACCCTATATAATGACATTAATGGCCACTAATGATAGATAATGGGTTTCGGAAAGAACACTTAACTTGATTTGTTGACAGCGTGTTGACAGATGGTACACCTTTGGTATCCATAACACTACGTCCAAGTAAAATTAACAGGAGCCGAATTTGCTCCCGTGTGAGCCTCTGGTCTCTATATAAACAATGGCTGCCCTCCTTCCTCCCTCTGACGCCTGGCTTACATTGTCCACATTTCAGAAAGTGATAGAAGGGTCACATTTACTCTACTTTAATATTGATAATTAAGTTAATTTATATAAGATGTTTTTATGATGGTAAAGTCCAAAGACTAATGTATTTAAGAATAATTCCCAGCAGAATAGCTGGTGAATTATAATAGTATGTGGTGATGATATCCCGTTTTCTTTAGACGGTAATTCCACTACAAGTTACGTTTTCTATGGGTAACTTGTTGGTAATACAGCAGCTCTTATCTGACTGTATGATATTATTATTAAATGGTGTCGGATTTTCCGACATAATTCCCCAGGGGGCTGCTCACGGGTCGAAGTCCTCTTTAGAACAGACGAACACCGATACTCCTCCTTCGAATTATTAGATTAATTTGATGTTAGTAGTTAGTAATCACACATTTGTGTGTCTGTTCGTACAGGACGGATGTCCCGTACTAGAGTTGTAGGGGTTAGAAGTCTAATGCGATTTCATTTCCCTGTCAACTCTTGAAAGGCTAATATTCAAGCCTTATTACTTATTATTTAACCCAGAAGACTGGATGTGATCAAGTACTACAGTCAAGTATGATTCAGGGACTGCAGTGAGATCAGTGACATAGATATAACTTGAAGTTTCTTCAGGTAACTAGTCACTGATATATAAACACTGAGGCCCATGGAATACATCTTGATTAAATAATAAATGTATCAAATCAGTCATCAGATTTATTGGGGTTTAATTTAGTTAATTGACTCAGAAGACTGAATAGCTCATCATTAAAGTAAAGTATGGTTCTGGGACTGCAGTGGGATCAGTGACATTGGTCGCAGTGACTTGTAGCTGTTTTAGGCTACTGTTCACTGATTTGCCACTGAGGCCTCATGAACTCATCTTCAGCTTTAAATGATGATACTAACATCAACCTCTGTTACTATAGTCAGCTGTAATCTCCTTAGTATAATGCTACCGGAGAAATATAATCAGCTGACAAATTTAGATTTCTACTGGTATTGTTTATCTGCAGGCATAGGTCTCCTCAGGCTTGATACTGGGCCTGAGAGTAATTTACCTCCTGCAGAGTTTAACATGGTTATACCCTGATATTTAGTAGGGCTACCAATGAATTGATGGTAGTAGTCTGTCCCCACAAGGACAGCCATTTGGCATTTGATTTGCTCAAATTTACCTGCAGCTGCTTGATAATAGCTTTCCAGGTCAGCATAATCAACTGTTGATTGTTGTGACAAATCTTCACATTTCTTGATCTGTCTTGTTAAGTGGCCTTTAAGACCTGCAAGGGTTCTTTTCATTCTCCCTGCATTATCCATACTGGCTAGTTGGTAAAGCCTTGTGGGACTTGTACTTGGGCTGCTCATAATACTGAACAAGCACTGATGGTAGCCTAGGGTAAAATGCACTCACTAGGCAATAATCCTACCTCTACTAGAGGTTAGCACTTAAAATTAATACACATTATATATATACAATCATACACACTAATGATTTGAGTGATAAACCAGTGTCACTGGAAGTACTTTTAGGTTAGCTCTTCTATATCACCCTAGGATGGAATTGACACTAATTAATCACTCAAAGGTGTAATGATCATAAGTAAATTATTATATATACAACTCAACTCGAGTTGATAAAAATTACACCCAAAATAGGGTCTGGACCATTCATTAATGGTGCTAGGTTGATCAATATAGTTCAACTGACTATGGTAATAATGGGACTAGGATGAGCAATAATAGTTCAACTAGTCATATCCTACCCTGTTGTGGGTTGGCAATTAGTAAATATTATACTGTGATCACTAGTGCAGTATATATTAAATGATTCTCTATTTTGGAGAAATAATATACACAATTATTGACAATAGCCTCTTAATTAGCCTCTATGAAACTTCTAATATTATCTAGAAGTATTAAATATTATTAGTGACCTCGCGAAATAAACTCCACAAAATTCGTAGATAATCTCTCGCGAAATGTAACACCACGAAATCCGTGAACAATCTCGCGAAGACACAGTCACTAATTTGGCTGGATTCTATATTAGCGCTGTCATTTCACGAAATAACACGCCACCAAATATCTGTGGGTGTGCATGAAACCGCTGACGAAGCTGAACTGGGCTGAGGGAGGCTCCTGAGCTCCCTCGAGGCTACGCTGCCGTCTTGACTGCTGGCTTTGTTTAAATAACACTGCACTAGTATATTTAATGAATCCACTGGTTAACTGGTTCATCCGGTACTAAGATGACCAAATGTGGGTTCATAGGACCGAATAATCCGTCATCCGGTTCGAAGATGACCAAATAATGTGGGAACCGACCTGTGAGATTTATATTTATTTAATTTATATGAATTTATATTTACGTTAATTTATATACTTCGATAGCAATTTGTATAATGATAAGTGGACTGTATTTCTGCAATAATCTCATAATCTCACAAATCGATCCTCTACACATTAGGGGGGTTTATATTTATATGTATGCAGCCAATCAAACTACAGTAACTACATACATTGAAGAGGTTCCTTATCTTATAGTACAGCAGGTTAGTCCACCAGGTATAACTAGGGTGTAGACACCAAATTATCCTCTTTGAGGTAGCTTCCATATCACCCAGTAACTGGTGCACAAATCTTGCATCCTCGTCTTGACCTGTCAAAAGTGCGCTAGCTGTGAAGCCAGATACCTATATATGACAAGTATATCAGAGAAAACAGTACATGGAACATGAAGACCTGGCTTAATTACCTTTAGTATGAGGCGATTTCGCGTTCTAACCGGGTCACCCTATATAATGACATTAATGGCCACTAATGATAGATAATGGGTTTCGGAAAGAACACTTAACTTGATTTGTTGACAGCGTGTTGACAGATGGTACACCTTTGGTATCCATAACACTACGTCCAAGTAAAATTAACAGGAGCCGAATTTGCTCCCGTGTGAGCCTCTGGTCTCTATATAAACAATGGCTGCCCTCCTTCCTCCCTCTGACGCCTGGCTTACATTGTCCACATTTCAGAAAGTGATAGAAGGGTCACATTTACTCTACTTTAATATTGATAATTAAGTTAATTTATATAAGATGTTTTTATGATGGTAAAGTCCAAAGACTAATGTATTTAAGAATAATTCCCAGCAGAATAGCTGGTGAATTATAATAGTATGTGGTGATGATATCCCGTTTTCTTTAGACGGTAATTCCACTACAAGTTACGTTTTCTATGGGTAACTTGTTGGTAATACAGCAGCTCTTATCTGACTGTATGATATTATTATTAAATGGTGTCGGATTTTCCGACAATGGTGGCGGTCACTAGATCACCGATGGTGGCCGTCACTAGATCACCGATGGTGGCCGTCACTAGATCACCGATGGTGGCCGTCACTAGATCACCGATGGTGGTCACTAGATCACCGATGGTGGCCGTCACTAGATCACCAATGGTGGCCGTCACTAGATGTTACGGCCCTCTCGGGACGCAACGGGGTTCTTACTCTGATGTTGTTAGAGGAAGTTGTATCCGACCCCAAGCCAGTAGTGGCTTTCAAGGGATGTGATCCGTGACGCAAGAAACTTTAAGGGGGAAGGGAAAGAAAGTTAAGAACTTAAGACTATAATTTACCATCACCAAATAAATAATATATAAAAGAGTGCACAGGGGGAGGGGTATTAACACTGTACAGGGGAAATACACAATCGTCTTCTGCTGAAGACTCTGGATCCTGATTCTCGGTGCTGAGTCCTCGGTGCCTTCGTGGTCTCTTGACGAATCCTTCGACCAAGCTGAGTCTACCCCAGGCACAGGCCAGCCAGAACACAGTTCCACTGGGGGCACCGCCGTGGAGGCCGTCAACCACAAGTCCAGCAGGTCTGCTGGCAGGTTCCGGATCAGCAAGGCTGGTCAGGCCACTCCACGAACGATATAAGGGTAACGCCCTAGACAGGAGCCTCGTGTGATACCACAAATCACTCTCCTGTCCTCAGTACCCCAGTGGATAATCGTCTCCAGCAGTCGGTCCCGGGTAATCCTTCTACTGCCACTCCACTGGCAGGGTAACACCACAGTGTTCTTCCGGGGGACGACTTCACAGCTGCTGCAGCAAAGCACAAGGTATGGAGACGGCTGCCTTGGGTAGACTGACTCAACTTCCATCACAGCAGTCCCAGGTCGACTCTGTAAGCAGACACGTCATCAATTACTGGGACACACTAAGGCACCTCACTTACAGGCTCAGACACAAACGCCCACCCATCCACTCCATAGATGGCGCTGGTGTCTGAGCACCACCTCACCAGAGGTCATCAGCGGCTGTGTTGAGCGCTGAACAGGACTGGAAACTGGCCCTCGAGGCCAGTACACGTCGTCCTCACCAGGTGTCGTCGTCCGTTTGGAGGGGGTTTCGGGAGCTGACCCACAGATGGCGCGGTCGTCACTGCTCCGGGCTCGGACGCTGGATCCGGGTTCGTAACACTAGATCACTGATGGTGGCCGTCACTACATCACTGATGGTGGCCGTCACTAGATCACTGATGGTGGCGGTCACTAGATCACCGATGGTGGCCGTCACTAGATCACTGATGGTGGCCGTCACTAGATCACCGATGGTGGCCGTCACTAGATCACCGATGGTGGCCATCACTAGATCACCGATGGTGGCCGTCACTAGATTACCGATGGTGGCCGTCGCTAGATCACCGATGGTGGCCATCGCTAGATCACCGATGGTGGCCGTCACTAGATCACTGATGGTGGCCGTCACTAGATCACTGATGGTGGCGGTCACTAGATCACCGATGGTGGCCGTCACTAGATCACTGATGGTGGCCGTCACTAGATCACCGATGGTGGCCGTCACTAGATCACCGATGGTGGCCGTCACTAGATCACCGATGGTGGCCGTCACTAGATTACCGATGGTGGCCGTCGCTAGATCACCGATGGTGGCCGTCGCTAGATCACCGATGGTGGCCGTCACTAGATCACCGATGGTGGCCGTCACTAGATCACCGATGGTGGCCGTCACTAGATCACCGATGGTGGCCGTCACTAGATCACTGATGGTGGCCGTCACTAGATCACCGATGGTGGCCGTCACTAGATCACTGATGGTGGCCGTCACTAGATCACTGATGGTGGCGTCACTAGATCACTGATGGTGGCCGTCACTAGATCACCGATGGTGGTCGTCACTAGATCACTGATGGTGGCCGTCACTAGATCACCGATGGTGGCCGTCACTAGATCACTGATGGTGGCCGTCACTAGATCACCGATGGTGGTCGTCACTAGATCACCGATGGTGGTGGTCACTAGATCACCGATGGTGGTGGTCACTAGATCACCGATGGTGGCCGTCACTAGATCACCGATGGTGGCCGTCGCTAGATCACCGATGGTGGCCGTCGCTAGATCACCGATGGTGGTCACTAGATCACTGATGGTGGTGGTCACTAGATCACTGATGGTGGCCGTCACTAGATCACCGATGGTGGCCGTCACTGGATCACTGATGGTGGTCACTAGATCACTGATGGTGGTCACTAGATTACTGATGGTGGTCACTAGATCACTGATGGTGGTCACTAGATCACTGATGGTGGTCACTAGATCACTGATGGTGGTCACTAGATCACTGATGGTGGTCACTAGATCACTGATGGTGGTCACTAGATCACTGATGGTGGTCACTAGATCACCGATGGTGGTCACTAGATCACCGATGGTGGTCACTAGATCACCGATGGTGGCCGTCGCTAGATCACCGATGGTGGCCGTCGCTAGATCACCGATGGTGGTCACTAGATCACTGATGGTGGTGGTCACTAGATCACTGATGGTGGCCGTCACTAGATCACCGATGGTGGCCGTCACTGGATCACTGATGGTGGTCACTAGATCACTGATGGTGGTCACTAGATTACTGATGGTGGTCACTAGATCACTGATGGTGGTCACTAGATCACTGATGGTGGTCACTAGATCACTGATGGTGGTCACTAGATCACTGATGGTGGTCACTAGATCACTGATGGTGGTCACTAGATCACTGATGGTGGTCACTAGATCACCGATGGTGGTCACTAGATCACCGATGGTGGCCGTCGCTAGATCACCGATGGTGGCCGTCGCTAGATCACTGATGGTGGCGGTCACTAGATCACCGATGGTGGCCGTCACTAGATCACCGATGGTGGTGGTCACTAGATCACCGATTGTGGCCGTCACTAGATCACCGATGGTGGCCGTCACTAGATCACCGATGGTGGCCGTCACTAGATCACTGATGGTGGCCGTCACTAGATCACCGATGGTGGTCGTCACTAGATCACCGATGGTGGTGGTCACTAGATCACTGATGGTGGCCGTCACTAGATCACCGATGGTGGCCGTCACTAGATCACCGATGGTGGCCACTGGATCACTGATGGGGTCACTAGATCACTGATGGGGTCACTGGATCACTGATGGTGGTCACTAGATCACTGATGGTGGTCACTGGATCACTGATGGGGTCACTAGATCACTGATGGGGTCACTGGATCACTGATGGGGGTCACTAGATCACTGATGGTGGTCACTGGATCACTGATGGTGGTCACTGGATCACTGATGGTGGTCACTGGATCACTGATGGTGGTCACTAGATCACTGATGGGGGTCACTAGATCACTGATGGTGGTCACTAGATCACTGATGGGGGTCACTAGATCACTGATGGGGGTCACTGGATCACTGATGGTGGTCACTAGATCACTGATGGTGGTCACTGGATCACTGATGGTGGTCACTGGATCACTGATGGTGGTCACTGGATCACTGATGGGGTCACTAGATCACTGATGGGGTCACTGGATCACTGATGGGGTCACTGGATCCCTGATGGGGGTCACTAGATCACTGATGGTGATCACTGGATCACTGATGGGGGTCACTAGATCACTGATGGGGTCACTGGATCACTGATGGTGGTCACTGGATCACTGATGGTGGTCACTAGATCACCGATGGTGGCCGTCACTAGATCACCGATGGTGGCCGTCACTAGATCACCGATGGTGGTGGTCACTAGATCACCGATGGTGGCCGTCACTAGATCACCGATGGTGGCCGTCACTAGATCACCGATGGTGGTGGTCACTAGATCACCGATGGTGGCCGTCACTAGATCACCGATGGTGGCCGTCACTAGATCACCGATGGTGGCCGTCACTAGATCACCGATGGTGGCCGTCACTAGATCACCGATGGTGGCCGTCACTAATCACCGATGGTGGTGGTCACTAGATCACTGATGGTGGCCGTCACTAGATCACCGATGGTGGCGGTCACTAGATCACTGATGGTGGCCGTCACTAGATCACCGATGGTGGCCGTCACTAGATCACCGATGGTGGCCGTCACTAGATCACTGATGGTGGTCACTAGATCACTGATGGGGGTCACTAGATCTCTGATGGGGGTCACTAGATCACTGATGGGGGTCAGTAGATCACTGATGGGGTCACTAGATCACTGATGGGGTCACTAGATCACTGATGGGGTCACTGGATCACGATGTAATGTTTTAATTACAAATAAAGCTCGGGAACATGGTGCACTATAGATTGTTTAGATCAAATAGTAGTGACTCAGTATGGGTAACCATGGCACTAAAGAACTTTATCAGAAAACAGAAGGCTTAATACAAACGTATTATGACAATTTTGATACAAAACTTCCTGGCTTGGTGCCTTCTTTTGATAATTATTATGACAAAATCTTTGTAAAAGACGAAACAAAACACTATGTACACTTTGCAGGGCAAGCAATGAAAGCCGTCTGGGGTTTCACCAGATAGATGAAACAAAGATTACAGACAACACCTGGACATTAACAAACAAGTCAAATAACAGATGACAAAGAAAAATTAAATTACTAAATTCTAAGAAAGTATCAAAGACCTTTATGAATATATCAGAAATCTACGTAGAATGTGAAGATGACATCCTGACAAGTTTAGTGGTTACCAGAGAGGAAATTTTTAAACAAATATAAAAGGATGCTATAGCCATCACACAATGAGGGGGGGATAGAAAGCAGTCACAGTCACGAGGTCACTTCAAGCCAGCTAAATCCCAAGGGACAGAGTCAGAGCTACCAGATATTTAAAATATAATGTTTATAGGAAACCTACAAAAAGTTTATAGGAAATTGTTAATTTTTACTCTTGATCATCAAAGTTAAGCAAGCAGTATTTATGGGAATGTTTCTTGAAGCCCTGAATTTTTGAACTCAAAACCATAATTTTAAAGACTGCCAATCGGCCATCAAAAAGTGTCTCAACTATGAGGGAGCATACACCGCCGTCTCCATGGACTGCCACATACAACTAAGAAATTACGAAATCGGCACCAGCCTCACCAACAACCAATCAGCCGGCGAGCTTCAACACACAGGCAACGACGTTCCCTGTGCTACCCAACTTCTCTGCTACAACGACGTCCCCACCAGACCAGGCCGCCACCCACTGGGGGACACTGCACTTCAATGCCACTGGCACCCCTTCCACTAATATCAAACACGCCAACACCAACAGCATCAAATTTCTCATTGCCTCAGAAGACGACCTTTTGCCTGTTTTAGGGAATCTGCTTTAAGTAAACTCGCCCAAGCTTCTCCGACTCCTGTCCTCACTATTGAACAAAAATCTAAATGCTCTGTCCTTGTACGAAATGCCGCCAGCTCTGTTCTATCAGCACCTAATACTATCAATCTCTCTCAGGACATTTCACACAGGAATGCTATTACTGTAATGGATATATACTCTGTGCCTAATACAAAACACCTTAAGATCCAATGTTCTTCCTCTGCAGAAGCTCAAAAACTCTAGAATCAAGGTATCAAAATCTTCAACACCAGCACTCTTCACTATCTCACTTGTTCAGTTGACTATCTTCCTTTGCTGCAATGTTTCAAATATTACAAACGACAATGTAAAAGCCCACAAATTTGCTCTAAATGCTCTACAGAAGGCCATTTTTATACTCTATGCTCTGCCCCCACTCTAAAATACACTAATTACCAAGGTGCTCATTCAGCAGTTGAAAAATCTTGCCCTCTGAGAAAAACTGAAAACTCTTCGTACTAACCAACCTCGCACTCATGCACACCCTCATTCTTCTTTAATCACCCATAACCCATCCCATCACCAAACAGCATCAGCCAACTCCATATCCTATGCCAGTGTCTTTAATGCTTCCCCTCGCCAGTAACATCACCACCCTACTAATGCACAACAAACTCAGTCCTCTCTACCTCTTTCCTCACCCACCACGTACACCCTACTCTCCTCTCCAGAACATGACATATGAGCGAGTCACAGCCTGCGTCCAAGCAGCATATCTGCAAGCTTAAGACTATGGCCGAGAGTTCGCCGACTACCTTCCCATCTTCCTCACCCACAATGGCCATCCTAGTATTTCTGTACCTCCTCCACACCTCTTGCACTCTTGTTCCTTTCTCCCCCCATGGTGCATACTCCGACACAACATCTATATATTCGAACCTCTATTGGAATCAGACCCAAATATGGGATGGGTCAACCCAAGTATCGCGTTTCCAAAAGGGTCGCCCTTGTTGGAATAGACGAACGCCGAAAGAATATTGTTGAAAACATCTTAACTTATTAAACCAAAATTATTTATAAGTCAAAAGACAGACAAATGGGAT